CATCCTCGTCGTCTCCGGAGTGGGGCGGGGGGCAGTTGGGGTTGCGCTGGCCTTTGCCCGCCCGATGCCGCCTTGGATTTTGAAGGGAAACAGCGCTGCTGCCTCCTTCACAGGGTTGTTGTTGCGGTGCTTCGGCAAAAATGGGTATCCGAAGAGGTGACTGGGCCAGTCCCTCTCTCAGCCCAGCCCACCTCACAGGGTTGTTGTTCTGGCGAAAATAGGAGCAGGAATATCAGGTGCGTTCGCCACCTTGAGTTTACTCTCTATTATTGTTAGATTTTTTATCCCGTTTTTTTATATATATAACTCAAGGCAGTGAACATATCTAATGCTCTTGCCCCCTCTTTTCCCCACAACAACAACCCTGTGAGGTGGGTTAGGCAGAGAGAATGGGACTGGGCCAAAGTCACCCAGCTGGCTTTCATGCCTAAGGTAGGACTAGAACTCACAGTCAACTGGTTTCTAGGCCAGCAGCTTTACTTGGCTCTCCGGTAAAGGCAGGATAAAAATCTGATTATAATAATAATTGGGATTGCTGAGTGAGGGGGAAGGACAAAATTGTTCTGTAAGGGTGTATTTATTTATTGCACCTGTATCCTGCCCGGTCAAGAAATCAGTCGATTTTATTTTGATCCATCCTCAGCAAGTTGCATTAAAACATACTAACATAAGTCAGGGGAGTACAAACGAGGATTGCTTCAGTTCCAGCTCGGAGGTTCAAAGTAGTAATAACCACAACACTTTTAATTTGGTTGTTGATTTAACCTACGCTCTTGGTTTGCACGGGACACTAAATGCTGAACTAACAAAAAAATCTAGGTTAGCACCATATGTCAAGCCATGAAAAAATTAATAACACTAATCAAGCTTAATATATTGTATCAGTATATTGTATCTGACCTGAAAATCAGGAGTCTGGTGCCGTCTTTTCTGACACAGTAAAAGGCAGAAGCTTTTGTGAGCTGCATCTAATAAAGAGCTGCAACTCATGAAAGCTTTTGCCTTTTAATAAAATTTGTAAGTTGAAAAGGGTACTACCCAATTCCTTTGGTTTTTTTGCCATCATAGACTAATATAACCAACCCTCCTGCATTATCTGACCTGGTTAAGTGTGCTGTATAAACACTGCCAGTGAGTGGAAACTGAAACCTAAGCCTCTACAGTTGAGTAATGTGACTGGGCACACATCAGCCTTCTCCACCAGTCCCCTTCCCTTGTACATGCTGACTACAGATTAGGAGAGCTGAACTCCAGAACATCTGGAGGGCACCAGGTTCAGGAAGACGGTATTGAACCCAACTGTGATTTGTCTTCAGTTTAACATTTCTTGTCAACCCAGTCATAATGGTTGGATTAATTGTAGCTAATTGTAGTTGATGCAACAAATCCTGGTTAATGAAAGCATGATTTAATGATACATGAAATCAGCTTCAGTATGACTATTATTGCTACACTGGTTCTCCAAGTTTGATTTCTCCAAGGAGGAAAAGTATTGAAGAGGAGAAGAGAAAGGTCATAAAACTAAGGCCAGTGCCCCAGTCATAATTTCTAACATTTTCTAGAGCCATCCAGCCATCATTATGCCCATATAACAATCAGGAGGATAGAATTTAAAAAAAAATTACTTTAATGGTGTTAAATAGCACTACAACATATTAGGGAGGAAATGGCCCTCAGGGTTCAAATGTATGTGTATTTACCTCAGAATAAATTCCACTGATTTCAACAGTACGTACTTATTTCTAAGGTAAAATGGATTGCTTGGGCTGTAGATGGTGAGAGATGTTCCTTGGGAAGGTAGTTTGGAACTTGAATAAGCAGATGCTTTGTGGTTTTAACCCTATGATCATTTAACAGATTAGCTATTCCCCCTTCATGCTTTTATTGTTCATCAGCCATTGATTTAATTAAGTATTGTGTGTGTCTAGCAAGGTAAATTCTGAATGATGCTTGTTAAATAAGATTTGGGGTCTACTCATTGTCAGTTATTACCTCTTTGTATACCATCCTTTTACCAAATTGTTCCAGGTTTGAAACTGGTGTACAATAAAGTGTGTTCCATAATAAGTTCTAGGCAATAAAATTAATACTGTAGATTAAGCATCCTGCAGAGGTTGAAACCAGTTAGAGTAAGAAGAGCAATAATGTCAGTTGTTCTGGACTAAATTAAATGGGGGGGGGAGGCTCAGGGGGCAATTTAATGAAGAAAAAAAGTTTGATGATTAGAGGGAGGATCACTATTTCAGAATCCTTGTGGGCAAAACAAGAGTTAGGATTTCAAGTGAACCATTAAATTGTATTGGATATTACTATGTTATGTTGCTACAGTGATTTGCTTGTTCTCTGTACTCTTGTGTAGAGTTTGATGCAGCTTTCTATGCTACATGATACCTACTGAAGCATATATTAAATGACAATGGCTTCGTCTAAGGTATTGATTACGATCAAGAGCAGCTGTATAAGGATCATAAATCTCACTGTAAAATGCTACAATCATAATAACTGCTTCCTAGAGAGAATCCTTTTTGTTTCTCTTAATAACAGCTGGATTCACACAACCTGTTCAACCCAGGTTAACAAAACATAATTGCTGTGTTTGTACAATAAGTAATGCCCAAACTTATAAACCGTCTTATAGCATAGTATGATGCTGCTTCTCACAATATGCTAAAATAAGGGCTGGATTTCTACCACATGATGAATTACAAAGTACTCAGCCTTTTCAGAAATGATTTCAGAAAGATTGGACACAATTGCCTTGTTGCTGCAGTTGCATTTGGAAACTGGAACACTAACTCATACACTACTTTGTACTATACTTCCACATTTTGAGCTGAAAACCAGGAGTGTTAACTAGTTTTATATTGACCATTGCTATTCGGGACACTTATGACCCAAGCATTTGGAATAGGACATCAAGAACAGTGAGTCTTCCCTGCTTGGGGAATGGTTAAATAAATTATTATACAATACTGGAAGGACAGAAATCTGCATCTGATTTGCAGGAAGGGATTGCTGATATATATATGTCAACCTTTGAATTCTCTTTCTTTTTCAACAAAAGGGCAAGAAATGTTCAAGAAATGTGGTGAAAATATTTGAAGTTCTTTTGATTGTGGTACCTTTTCTTTCTTGATTCCAGACCTTTTCTTTCTTGATAAATTTTGAGGTTACATTATACATATATCTCTGTATATGTAATATTTCTTTAATTAGAGACAACTACTCTCATTATAGCCCATTATAGCCTAGTTAATGTGCTGCATAAACCTAGCTGATGTGTGGTACAGCCATGAAGAGAGAAACAGTGACAGCAAAGAGCATAAAGTGTGATTATTGTTATTATTGGCATTGATATCCTACCTTAAGTTCTAGTTTCATCCCCAGAACAACAATCCTGTGAGTTAGATTGGGCTGGAGGAGACTGATCAAAGTCAGTCAGGGAATTCTTTGATAAAGTGGGGTTTTGGACCTGGACATTCTCAGTCCAGATCTTGCTTCTTAATCACTATACTACACTGCCTCTCTTATTATGGGTGGGGTACAGATTATTTTTGTTGTTTTGTCTATCCATTATAATTGGAGGCTGAGAACTAGTGCTAGAAAGGTACCATTAGATTGCTCTGAAAGGCCAGAATAACAATGCCTGGTCATCTTTATTCTTATTGAGTATTGAGAGGAAGAAGTGGGGTCCTATAGAGAGCCACAGAGATGACCTTGGAGAAGCTATGCAATGGCACTTAGAAAAACATGATTTAATCCAGGACAGGAAGAAAACATTAGAAACAAACTAACACCACCTTAACTCTCTTGAGTATAAGAGGGAGGGAGGAAATACTATCAAGCTTTCAAGCTTCTGTAATTATGACCCATATCAATAGAGATCCAGTCATTCCTGTGGAGTCTGTTTCCTAAACTGGCCCACTTTAAAGGGTTGACAGTTCCCTTGTGTGCTGTTCATTGGTATTGCTTTCACGTTTATGGGACATTATGCTAGTTACAGTAAAATTCCCTTGGTTCTACTCCTGCTTTTGTCTGGGAGTTTATATGCATTTCAAGCCTTTTTAACACATCCTTTCTCCTTCAGGAATGTCGGATTGCACACCCGATTGTTAAATGTACCTACTGTAGAACTGAATTCCAGCAAGAGAGGTAAATGCTGCATATAGTAGATTATTAAGGAGAAGTAGTAATGTGGAATTGTTGATGTTGTCCAGATGAAGACTTTTTACAGTATTCTGTTATTTTATTTCCAATGTATTTTCAGTATCGGTAGATAGTTCAAAATGCTTTAGGACTTGTTAACATTCAGCCAGACAGAAGAACAGATACTTTGCACTAACTTTCTAAATTACACTCACAGCAATTTAGAAATAAATTCTGCTGAAAGAGATAGCGCTTCCAAGAGAGGAATGATGGAGAGTGCAGTTTGGTTTCTATCCACGTATTATAGCTGTTACAAAAAATAAAATCAAAATTCTTTCTTGCTGCAGCTGTAACATCACTTCCATTAGTAGCTCTCAAGGATACTGTTAGTGGCAGCTCCAGCATTATGGAAGTGTGCCATTAGCGTTGGAAGTAACTGCAGGAGTGGGACTCCCATGTGTACTGCTTCATCCACAGTGAAGTCAGATGGGGATTTTTTATGGCAGCTCTGCACGTTCGACATGCCAAACTGCTCTTGTGACTTGGACCCCAGAGTTTGGCCAGAAGGGAATTAAAATCCACCAGATTTGTATGCTTGAACTGTGTGAACATGGCAGTCATCAAGGTTAAAGTAATTTGTAAATGCATGGATGCTTTGAAGTAATTCTCTCAGCTTTGTTGTGTTAAGGATAGATTGCAGTCCTATTTTACTTGGGGTTCATAATATAATCTTATGCAAGATTGCTTAGAAGAATGGTTTCTTGAGTTCAGTGGGACTTCTTGGGAAGTGGATTATGGATTGTTACGTCAGTTATATTGATCTAAGTGGGAATTATTTTTGAGGCAGTATTGCTCTATACTATGGATAGTAATTTGGGGAACTTGTGAGCAGCTCCAGTTAATTTAAATATGAGTAATTCAGGAAACAATGCCTTCTCTTTGTATCTAATCCTTAAATTGGGAGGATATTTGCACCTTTACACCTAAAAACTGGACTCCAGTCATAAGTCATCCAAGAACCATATAATAAAGGGCCCAATGAGTCTGTGGGCCAACAAATGTTGCCTATGGTCCATCCATTCCTAATTATTAGGGGCTGATGAAAGATCGAATCTAACATGAACTGGAAACTCCTGATATAAGATAAAACATAATGTGAAAGCCACAAAAGTGTTTAAAATTCTGCCTATTACATTTGATCAGTATACATTGGGACTGTGCAGCTGTCAGATTTAGACTCCAAAAGGTGCTTAGCATCTGTTTGCAACCCCTTTTTAAAATTACTTTGGTTTAATGCCAGTTCTTTTAAATCAACTGACATTAGAGTTCATAGCTTTTATTTTAAAATCCTATACATCTGTCCATGTCCTAAAATAAGTCAGAGACAATAGAAATAGAAACTTGAGACATGCCAAGGCATTTGAACCAGCATTGCAAGAATCCCCGCCCCCTTTGACATTTGAAACCCAGTTAAATAAGTTACAAGAAATAGCTTTCCAAGAAAGAAAATAGAGAAATCAACATAATACGTGTATAACGTGCTAAGTTGCTAGAGATTTCTGTGGTGGTCGGAGATCTATCTGCAAACTGGCTGCCTTTGGTGCATATTTGGGAATCAGCGCATTGATTTTATGAATCTAGTTGATTTTTCTGCATAGCTATTGCAGGTTTCACCCCAGTCACGCCTACAAGTAATGCCTTTTTCCAATTCTTTGATCCTCAGCTTCTTTGGGTCCATAGTGCTCAGGTCAGTCTCTTTATCATAGTTCAGTTCACAGTTCTGATTATCTTTTTCAGCTTCTCAACAAGGATATGATGACTTAAAAGGTTTTGCCACCCCTATTTTAGGGGCTGCATCAGTGGTTGCTCCAACTCAGCAGTCTTCTCTTGTGGAGCACAATATAACATTCCCAGGAAGGAGAACACACACTTTGCAGTCTCCCTCTTGCAGAGTGTAGCTGTTTCCGCAAGAGGGACAGCGTGGGGAGCAGAATCAAGGCCACTGCTACCCAGAGCCTGTTAGCTGCCCATATCCTACTTCTCTGAGCCCACCTTGGCCACTCCTTGGCTCACCTGTTTGCACCCCTTAAAGCAGCTGCATATTTTCCTACAGCTGCTACACAATCCCAAGAAAAGATACTGCAGCTTTAAGGGGTTGCAAACAAATGCTAAATTTGCACTCCTACATGCCCCAAAGCACCCTTTGGAGACTGAATCTGAATAGCTGCATGGCCCTAAGCCACATTATCAGATTTCATTTTTTATACTCTGTTTTTTCTTCTGCTAGTAAAACCAATACAATATGCAAGAAGTGTGCTCAGAATGTGAAACTTTATGGGACGGTATGTATCAAAAATCTTTTTTCCCTTCAGCAATTTGGAGTGGCTAACAATAATGTAAAATCAACACTAATAGAAATAGCAATAAAACATAGCAGAGAAAGAAAATAATCCATAAAAACATGTATTATATACATCGCTAATATTTATTTATTTATTAAATCTGTATGCTGCTTGACTCCCAATGAGTTAAGGGTTAGCTGAAAATAAATCATAGTCCACTAGCTCAGTGTTTCTCAACCTCAGCAACTTTAAGAAGTGTGGACTTCAACTCCCAGGATTCCCCAGCCAGAATGCTTG